AGGTCGGTTTGTGTTGCATGTTTAGTGGCAAGCCTCAACCTTTCCCGCTACAGGTGAGAGCGCATAATCCGTGCACATTTTCTTGACCATATGTATGCACCAGGTGTGAACTCTTCACAGGCAGGGGGAAGCCTGGCTTTTCCAACACGGCCCGATCTTGGCCGCCAATCATAGGCTCTTTTCAACACACCGGCGATGCTAGCCGTTCCGATGACTTCGCCCCATACGGCTCGCTCGGCTATACAAGGGCCGACATGTAATCCCCCTGCAACGAAAGTGTGAACACCGGAACAACTGCTTACAGCAAAACTGAAACTAAGGTTCCTGCCAACATCAACAAAGACCAAAAGGGCTGCAGTTGGGTGTGTTTCGGTGGCTATATACGCCTACCTGCTCCCCATTGACTGACTGAACACAACATGTGAGACACATCCAAAAGGTAATGAGGGAATATGTCATACCAAAGGGTCCCCTGCATGTCAGCGAAGGGCGAGCTCGGAAAGGTGGGGGCTTCAAGCAAAAACATGCTTTCCCCGCTGGCAAAAGGTTTTCTCCGGACGGCTCACTCGCATTCTCTCGGGCTCACTGCTCCTCGGACACGTCACACCTTCCCTCCCTGTTGGGTAGGGTCGCCTTTGTCTCACGCTGTGCTGGGGGGTGTCTCTTGTCCCCCTGTCTTGGCGCGGGCTCCTCCTTCCGTGCTCGAGGTCGGGCTCTGTTGCCTTTTGGCTGGTGTCTGCGCGCTGCACTGGCAGTCCTTGTCGAGCCGCCCGGTCGTTCTCCTTTGCGAGAATGTCACTGTAAATTGCGTGGGCTTGTTGAAGGAGGTCTTGGATTTTGTAAGGGAAACTCCCCCCAAATATGCGCAGCTCCTCTTCCACCTTCGGGCTGAAACGCCCCACTATGTCCACAAGCTTATCTGTATTTCTCCCCTCCTCCGCTCGAGCCAGTTGACGTTGGTGGTGTCGTCGGTAGTCTCGTTCGCCCGCAGCTTCCAGGGCTCTCCCCGTTTCGGTGTCTTTGAGAAATCCGTGATATGTCGAATGTACTCTACCAACGGCCTTGTCGTCTTCCCCCAACACTTACCATGTTGCACTGCCTCCGGGTCGTGCTGCAGGTTGAAGGGGTTCTCCTCCGAGTCGGCGTTCCCTGCATGGAGCTGCTGCTGGCAGTCGAGGTGACTGCCCCCGCTGCGAGCATCGTCTTGTAGCACACCCCCCCTTTGTGGCCTTTGTGCCAGAAGGGTCCTTCCAAGCATGCTCTGCAGGTGAGCTTCTTGAACTTCTCCGCTAAAGCGTCTTGCTCCTGGTCACGGGTTTGCAACCTGCTTTAGTCCAGGTCGTCCTTCGTGTTTGTCCCCCCCGGTCCGAGGTGCTCTCTCTGCTTGTCATCGGCGAAGTCGTGGCTCCGGTGTCAGCTGGATTACCGAGAGTTCCGCAAACAGACAGTATGCTCTCGCACCCCCCGAAGGAGGGCCGTGGTCAGGGTCGAGAGTGGCTTAGAAACCCTCAGGGCCACGGACTTCAAGCACCGCTGGGAAAGATGCGAAGGCTCCCCCAGAGCCAACTCCAGGCTGACCCCACAACTCCCCCCGATGCAAGGGCGGCACAAGCCCCCAAGCAAAGGTGCAGTACCTGAGCCAAATGGCTACGAGCTCGCTCTCTCCCTCTCTCTCTCTGTCTCTCTGCCCGCTCCTATTAGACTGTTTTTACGAGTTTCCAGAAGAGTGAGTTGCTTTGTGCTCGGAGCGGCTCCGCTCCGCTTAACCGAAGCCAGGTCTCGCAATGAAGGTCTCTGGAACTCCGTTTGCCGAAGGCGCTTTGCAAACATCCCGCCAGTCCTGAGTCTCTCGGTGGATCACACTGCAGGAAGCAACATCGGGTCGTCGACTCGACTCCCATTCTTTTGCGTTGCCAGGCTTCGGAGCCACTGATGCCAACGAAGACCCCGATGTGAGCAGACTCGATTCGAACCTTCTCGCGCTCGTAGCCAGCGTCGCTCATGGCCAGCCAGCCTGCAAGCAACCGGCCAGCCAATAGTGCAGAGCTGGTCGCTGCAGGCAGCAACCCTCCTCCTGTCAAATCGAAGCACAGCAACTTTCCGTCAGCCTGTTTCCATGAAGATCCGCTGCTCCGGATCCATCCCTCTCACCTCCTGGCAACGAGCCGAATGACGACGACATCGTGCATCGAAGTCTGGGAGAATATCCGTGGCCATGCGATGCAAAGGAAAGCGAGGAGATCTTCCATGATGTTCACGAGCTGCTGAAGCCAACCCTCCCTGTCCTGGTCTGGTATGTTGAAGAATGCGGCATCGAAAATCTCAATGCCTCTGCAAGAAAACCCATGCAAAGAAGCCCGGAACAAGTGCGATGCCGCCGCGCCTTCGATGTGGCCTTGATGGCGGCAGTAGCTCTTGAAGGAGGCCATGGCCCTCTGTTGGTCCTGGAAGGAATGCCACAAAGCTAGGCTTCGCAGATGCGAAGCAACTGCGAAGCAGCTGCCTCGTAGTCAATGTACTGGTCAATGTCAAACCTGACAAAAAGGCCCAAGCTGGAAAATGTTTCATCTACACCGGGTCTGCCGACCCCATCCCGGTCTCCTGGTCTTTGGGATTTCCAGGAAGCCGTCACAGCCACCATGCCGCAAGGCTGTCCACAGCTTCTCATGCAAGTCTGCCTGCCCAAGCTCCGACTCCCAGTCAACGACATCAACTTCCGCCGTGACTCCCGCAGAAAGAGTCCCGCAAGGGACGCCACCAAAAACCGTGGAGAGCCGGCCTCGCAAGGATCCCTGGAAGACATACCTCAGCGACAAGGCTGCTCACTCCAAGTTTGAGGGCTCCAAGTCGGGCCGGGCCGCCCTTCACAAGGACCTGCGACTGCGAAGCTCGGCGGGAGCGACGCGCGGCGCGGCGAGCAGGCTGCATCTCAGCCTGGAACACCCAGCCCTCTCTAGGTCCACAGAGTTATCAGGAAGTCGCGGGCAGGCGCCTTCTGGAAGACCATCTGGAGGGGCCTCCCGTGATGATAATCGTCAATAGAGGGCATCGCACTTTTGAGCCTTGAAGGCTTCAGCTGATGCTGAGGGAGGAACTCTTCCAGAAGGAAGCTCTGCAAGACCAAGCACTCGCCATCGGGCTCGAACTGGAAGTCGTACCTTGTGTGCTCAACCGTGGGAGGGTCTCGTGCGGCGAACTCTAAGGTCGAGCTGCAGTTGGGTGAGGAAGAGCACTTGCAAGTCCAGGCAGGCCACCATACTCACCTGCAGCCATGCGCAGCCATTCATGCGCAGCCATGCGTCGGGAAAAGACAAGAAGCAATCTGAAGTCGGCCATCTCCGGCCTCGGGATAGTCTGCCTCCCGCGGGATCAGCCGGATCTTGCCGGTGCTAGGCCCCAGGAACCTGTCGCAAACACAGCACAAAAGCACGGCACCCTCAGGAGGCACGTCTCAAGCAGAGGTGCCGAAGCAGACAAAGTCGCCGCCGGCCCATCAGTGCCAGGAATGCCTCCTTAGTGAGACAAGCGAGATAAAGAGCCGACACTGACGCTTTTTGTCGCCAGGGCCCCTGTCACGGTGCTGCTGTTTGGTGCGTCCTGGGCACCGCCTCGCGGGGCGCCGGGGCTCGCGGCGCCTCGGCGGCCGGCGCCGCACCGGAGAGGCGCAGGAGGAGGTTCGTGCCTCGAAAAAAAGCCCGGCTTTTTGGTCCAAGCTGTCACTGCACTCCAGTCGAAACTGTTCCAAGACCAAGGGTCGGCTCGAGAGCTGGATGCCCAAGGGCTCCTGCAGTCGGTGCTTCAGCAGGCGCAGGTGCTCGCTGACCTCAAGAAGAGCATTCTGAAAGTCAGATGGCTCCTCTCCCAGAACCTCCGAGCCTCGGACGCTGTGCTCTTGTGCTAGGAGCCCAGAGGACTCTGCCAGAGACCCGGCCTCCAAGCCCTGGCCACAGAGCGACTAATTTTCGAGAAGAAAGGGCTTCGGAGCTCTCGGCCTCGAGCATGGCCACCTTGTCGGACCTTGCGGGTCCACGGCCCAGGTAGCCCAGCTCGAACCTGGAAGCCAAACTCTGTGACTGTCTGGGCCACCCTCCTTTGGGTTGGAATCTCGAGACTGATGCCAAGCAGGGCCCTTCAGATCCAACGCATTCCCTCCAGAAACGTCAGCCGGGCAGCTCGATAGGAAGCCGGTAGAAGCAGTCCTTCTAGCGGAAACCCTTCTGAGAAGAAGGCAAGGACTTCAAAAAAAACGTTCTCTGAGGATTTCTGAAGCTGGTCACGCATGGCTGTCTATAATGACTGAGACCCCAGGAATCCTCGAGCTGCTTCACCGCGGAGAGGATGCCTGCACGGCCCCGCGCCGGCAGGATCACATGAGTAGTGACCTGCGTCACGGTGAGGAGAGCACTTGCACTTCAAATTCCGGCAACTGAGCGCTCCACGAACCCGCGCTCGAGGAGCAGGGAAGGCATCTGCTGCGCGAGGCCCTGCGCAGCTGCGGAAGATGCATGCGGAGACGCGGGAGATGCCTCTGGTTTCATCCGCCTCGGGATCCGAGCTTGGCCCCAGGACCAGGTCATAGCCCTCCAGCGCATCCGAAGGCAGCCACCTCTAAAAAGTCTCAAGGGCGGCTTCTCTTTCCGCCTTTGGGGGGCTTTGAGCGAGAGCCGAACGGCCTACAAGCGGAGGCGGGCACTTGCAGGAAGTAGCCCGTGAAGGTCACCACCTCGCAAGCCCGAAGCAGCTTTGCTTGGCCCTGGAGGTCTCACGAGTGATGTTTCATAGAAGCCTGAGCGTCGGACTAAGAGACCAAGCTCACCACCATTCTCCACTAGCTGGGCCTCAGCATGCCAAAAGCCCTGCCCACCTGGCCTATTCATCCCATGTGGAACGGCAGATTGCAGTGGAAAATTCACGCACTTCCGGTCTTCTCCACGAGCATGCAGGCGACTTGTTTTGGCATAACGGCCTTTCACAGCACCGTTCGCATGGAGGCTCTTCTGCTTCAAGCAAAGGCCGGACAAATTAGAGGGCGGGCCTTTGGTGCCATTCACTGCGCACAAGCAAAAGCATTTCGCCATTTCAAACTCATCTGCATGCCTCAGATTTCACCAAGCACAGCCTGGGATTTTTCGTGAGATCCTGCAGCACTCCGGGCGAGCCGCGCGATTCAAGCTGCCTTTAAATCCCCGGCACGGGCCATACTCGCCGCGTCTCTTCTTCGAGCATCCCGATCTTCAGGCGTCAAGTACGGATTCTGCCATCTGCACAGATATCCGTAGATGGCTGACAGCCGAAGCACAGCACCACCCGCTGCAATGCTGAAGCACACACCCAAACCAACTCCATAGACTGCATAGACCCAAAGCACCGTGGCGCAAAGCGAGTTGTACACTCCCGCAAGCATGAGCACCATTGGCTCACCAAAGAAGACGAAGTTGTCTTTGACAAACTTCAAAGAAGCCATGTCGTCCAGCGGCTCCAAGTAGAGTGTGATGAACGCACAGGTCATGACAGCAACAATCAGCTGCCCGACTGCTATAGCGAGAAATCCCTCGTACCACTGGCAGATCAGCGAAAAACGATCGTCACCGGCCATCGTTTGGTCCACCGCCATAGTCCACACCACCGTGAGGAAAAGCACAGCTATCACCCCGAGGTTCGTCAGGTTGTTGCGCATAGCCTCTCTCATGTTGATTCCATTGGAGCGCTGTTCAATCATGCTCCAGCCGGTTTGGGGTGCGAGGGCCATACAACCCAGCTGCTGCAAAATACAGAACAACCCCACTGGTACCCATACATCATACACATTTTGCTCGACCACCTCCTCCGTCTCGACCCCGATGCTTGAACACAGCCAGGATTGAAGGGACCAACATCGACATCAAGCCAAATCCAAACGCAACCATCCAATTCCCAGCAAGCATTTGGGGAACGGCATCAACCTTGTCAAACCGATCCCTTGCCTTGCAAGCTGTGTGGACATTTCATTTCGGAGTACACCGGGGATGTTGTCTTTGAGGTCCTCCCAGCAGTCGACGAGAGAGGCATAATCAGTGCACCAGTCCTCTTTCAGCTTCTCCAGGACCACCTCCTTTCCACCGGGAAAAGCACGCAACGTCTTCCCCAGCCACACCTCGAGCGATTGGACTTCCTGGACCTCGACTGGGACCGGTTGTCGGCCTTCGCGGCCTTTGTCTTGCTCTGGTTCTTGCTCCATGGTGCTCACTTCCGCCGACACTTTGGTGGATGGCATCGCTGGCTTCTTGGGCAATGGGCTGCAGGACGACATGCTGCTCAACTTCCGACAAATAAACGGGCAAGCTTTGCAACACCTTGGGACAAGCCTGGCCTGGGCGCCGTTGAAGTCCATCGGCTCCACATCCTCGCCCAGCGGCCGCAGCTGTTCCTCCCGGGCTCAGGAAACGAAGGCGACCCTCCCTAAGCGTTTCTTAGCACATGGCCTCCAAGCCCTCCAGCACAAGGAGGGCCCCTACAGGGGTCCCAGCATCCATGGCGCAGCCGGGACGCAGAGCTTCTTTGGCTCAAGGCAAAGTCTTAGACTTCATCTCGGGCTGTGATGGAGTTGGCTCGGGGCTCTCAGCCATGGTGGCTTGGGAGGGATTGAGCTCAGGACTTCAGCTCTCCAACCGAGTTGTTCTTGGGACTTCGTGTTGTCGTGTGGTCTGGAGCCGCCTTGTGCTTTCATTGCCTGCCGCCTGGGGGCCAGACATACAAACACCTGTTCACACCACAGCCACTTCTTGCATGGCAGCTCCACGAACTCCACTCACCCTCCATGACGACCTGTGGAGACGCAGCGACGCAGCTGACCCTTTACCTCAGATTCGCCTCATCTCCAGACAACCTTCCGAGATTTCGTGGCCGACCGCTCCTCGGCTTCTAGGGTTTGAGCAAGAGACCAAAGCAATCTGAGATATGAATGCATGCATCATGACATGTACGTGTACACACACCTCTACATGTATGTATGTAAGTATGTATGTATGTATGTATGTATGCATGCATGTATGCGCACACATATAATATAGATATATATATATATATGTATACATACAAAAACTGTATGTATGCATTTATGTATGCTTGATTTTACTTGCATACATACATACATACATACATACATACATACATACATACATACATACACACATGTGAGTGTGTGTGTGTGTACATATATATATATATACATATACTTTTGGGTGCGAAAGTGTGCAACCCTGTACCGTGAAGGAAAGACGCTTAGGTTTATGTTGAACATGCTCCAAGAGGTGAGTGTTGAGGCCCCGACGCTGCGGGTGGCTCGAACCACAGGCGACTCGGCCCGGGGAGGTGCCTGCAAGAGAATTGCCCTGCTGTCCCACACGTCAGGGAATTTTGGTGTTGAGTCTTAGGGAGGCCGCCCCTAAACCTAATCCCGCGAGGCTGCGCTCCGCACCTTCTCCGTTGATGGTGCAAGGGCCCTGGCCGCACGTGAATCGGGCGAAGAGTCGAGAGAAGAGACCTTTCATCCTGCGGCGCGGGAACGAGCCCTCATTGTGGCGCCTCCCGGCATCCGCTCGCTGCCGAACACCAGATCTCCTGTACCACGCGCACGTGAAGCGCTGGGAAGTCAGTGAAACCGGCATGCCCAAAACAACGCCCGTCAGCATCCTCGAAATACGCACGCGGGGAGAAGACTCCGCACCTGCCAAGAAATCCGAGAACAGACTCTCACAAAGGCCATCAAAGGCCGTGGGGAGCATGCCCGGCCTTGCGAGGAGCAGGGGCTCTGACTCATCGGATTTGGTGGGGAGGCCTCGCTGCTTGAGCCTGCCCAGTTTTCGCTTGGACTCTTGACCATTCCAAAATCCGGCTCGCACCTGATTCCTGCTCCTCTGGCTCCTCCAACACCTCCGTGGAGGAGCGGCAGAACACGAGGAGTATGTAAGGAGAAGGAGCCTCCTGCATCTCCTGCGCCGGCGTCGCGCAGGCATCCGGCGTGTCCGCCACAGACGCATTGTGGCCTCAGGCGGGGCAGAGCGTGTGCTGCGATCTGCTTCTAATGTGGTATCATGGTGCAGGGAGATCAGCGAGTGGAAATGCCATGCCTGAACCTGCTTGTGCCTCAGCGCAATCCAACGTGCCGGTGCTGAGGGCCGTTCTGGCAGCGACGGAAGTCGCGCCGGTCGCTATCCTGCATGAGTCTTGCAACGCCTCACAACTTAAGCGAAGAATCAGCAACAGCAGCGGCAAGTTGTTGTCCTTGGCCCGAAGAAGCTCAGGGGCGACGGAGGCAAAGGGAAGTCACCTTCCCGACCCATGGGTATCCGAGCTGAGCCGATCCAGGAATGCTCGTTTTCGATTGCTGAGAGCTAGGCCTAGGACCTGGGATTCACTCTTGCCTTTGACAAGACTTGTGGTGGATGTTGTAAGACGTATTCTGCATTCTATAGACTCACCTGGAACGCCATGCTTGTTCCCAGCTTCTTCTGGAAACGGTATCACCCACTCATGAAAGCTGTTTGGGGGCGGCCTGAGTAGAAGCGCGGAACCGACGTCCCGAAAGGCCTGCAGGACCACCAGGATCAACATAGCTGCGGAGAGCCAAGACTAAGGAACTTGCTGCTCACGCTGACGTCGGCTGCAATTGAATCGCTAGAAGTGGTCAAACAACAGTCTCCACGCACGATGAATATCTGCAAAGGCAAAAGAACTGCTGAATGAGCATGTGTCACCCGCTCTTCCATGCTAGATCTCTGAGAACGGCTCAACATTGGTGCAGGAAACCTTATGAATTACTGAACATGGGGTGCGCACGCCATCGCGATCGTCTCTCCACCTGGCTGGATGGATCTGCCACTAGCAGTAGGCACGTGTGCAATTCACTTAGGTGCCCGACTACATGGCCGGTCTGGACCGCACTCACCTCTATTTCGACTTCAAGCCCAGCACGGACGTTCCCCCTCATCTGCACAACATCCTGGAACACGTCCGAACCGAAACTCATGTTCCAAAAGGTCTAGAAACCGATCCAAAAACTGTGGCAGGATGTGTGTCAACATGACTATGCAACCGATGTCTTTCTGCAAAGCGGTGCCGCGCCACTTGTCCGGAAGGTCTGCGGCAGCGGAGTCGAGGACTTGGCACGGCGCACATAGGCAGAAGGTTCGATCTCCCTACTGTCTACACATCCTACATGAAGGAGAATTAAAGAGCTCTTTTGGTGGAGGGATCACATCCTTATCATAAGTGCAAGCAGAGCACGGCCGGCGCTAGCATGCAATGGCGTGATGACCAGAATTCAGAGCGCCGAGCCCCCATTCGGATCAATGCGCACGGGCTGTCAATGAGACTTCGAACTCTAGGCTCCATGCATGTAAGCCTCTCTTTCTGTGAAGTGGCTGCTGGGTTCCCAGCTCGTCGAACCACTTCTGGCCTGTGCTTGCGAGCACATCATCCGGCGGCCGTTCTGTGCGATGCCCGAGCAGCTATCTGAAACGTCCAGACTTGCTGCAGAGCAACGCGCGGCTTGGCAGCGAAAGAGAAGCGCCGCGACCTTCCCGGTCTCTGGACACGAACTGTCTTCACGGCAACCCTGACAGAAAGACCAGTTTGCCTGCATGGGGGGGTGCAGCGTAGACCGATGCCCCAAGACCTTGGAAGCAGGTGCTCTGGAGTCGCCACATTTGAGTGGCCCCATCGATGGACTGCTGCTGCTGCTGCGGTGGGGCAGTGCAGGCCGCGAGGCCAAAGCAGATGCTGCAACCTTCTTCGGAGCTCTGCCATGCCGAAGGTAATCACCCACAACAAATTTTGGAAGTAGACAGCAGATGTGAAAGCCAAAAGTCCGGAGCCAACCCTCTAAACACGAAACTCTATACTCTATACCCGCCCCTGCGGCTGGCATCTGGGGCCACTGCAGGGTGCCGGAGACCTGGGTGCAAAGAGAAAGAATCAAGAACTTGGACCGTTTGAGATCGATGGGTCAGGCAGCAAAGATCTGACAGGCCCCCACCAAACGGTGTTGGTCACGGTGTGGGAGATCACTGGGGAAGGGGAACGTAGCGAGGTGGAACGAACAACCTGGCTCCACTCAATTCCAAGCGCTAAAGGAAGTCGGTTTTCGAGATGTGAATTCCAGATGGAGCTTGGGAAGGTCCGGTATGATGGAATCAAAGAAGCAAAGGCAAAACGAATCTGGAGGTTCACAGCGAAATGCCTGGCATTGGCCACCCACCACTATTTTGAAGGGTTTGCCGTTCACCTTACTTTCACGAACTTGCAGATTCTGGCGACTAACCTTACGTTTACATTTAGATTCAAAGGGCATTCAAGCGACATCTTCCACTGCCTCATGTTTTGGGCCTTCCAACTAACTCGAGCTTTCGGCGGAAGGCGAGTAGGCATTTCTAAGCGAAAACCACCTCCACAAACCCGCACGATGCTATCACACAGGAATTCCATGGCGCTTCGGGGTACTTTCCGTCAATCCCCAAACCCGCTCCAGCCACCGTGGTGCGCGGTGGGCCGCGGAGCACGGGACCCGCAGTGACCTGACGGTGCAGATGCAGTTCAAGGCACGCCCCCGACAAGGAACCAAGACGAAATGTTCTTACCCAGTGCAGTTTTCCAGAGGCCTGCACATCAAATTGAGCTGGCATAAATAAACCTTCGTGCATCAGTCGTTGCATGAAGCCTCTTCTAGCAAAAAGGTGCGATCGAAATGCAAAGATTGCAACTTGTAGAGCGCAAAGTCACAAGCAGTTGCCATCTCGGTCCCATGTGCAAAGCGCATAACCGCGGGGGTTGAATGTTTTGCCGGCATTCAAAATCTATGTGTAGTGGATTGCCAAGTTGCAAGGTATGACATCTGATGTTTCAGCCACCACGGGCTGGCACAGAGTTTAGACGATTGGCGCATGATTGGCTTCCAACCTATATGTTTCACGCAAGCCCGCAGCCTACAGGGGGTTCGGAACTTCTAAAGAAGGCAGTGACAGGCCGAATACGTGGCAGAAACATTCAGTAGGAGCTGCCCCATGGCTCTGAGAATGATCCAACCTGGATTCCGAAAGAGTGAAGCATAGATCTCGGAGCCCCTAAACCCAGATGCATCCTTCAGGCCAGGAATTGAACATGTGATGCCGGCCCCAGTAAAAAAAAGAGGTCCAGTCCTACGCCCTCTTCTTGGACCTGTCCCCAGCCCGGCGGAGAGTGGTCGTGGCCGGGCCTTGACGCTGGTGATCTCCCGATCTCTTGCGGCCAACCTGCAAGAGAGCACCGAGAAGGACGCCGGGACGGGAGGTATGGGAGTTTCCGAAAGGGGGGTACCTTGCTTTGGGTTCCTGAAAACAAGGATCCTACTATTTGGGGTACTGTATTTTCGGAAACCCCCATATCGCGTGCCGCAGGCCTTGCATACGGCCGACTGGAGGCAGGAAGCGAGGCCAGCAGCTCCTGCCACGTAGTGCCAGGTAGTAAGAGGGGTACCTGGCCTATTTAGGTGTAGCACCCAAGGATACAAGTCTATCTTAGGCTCAACCCAATACTAGGATAATCCACCCCAAGGTCCCAACTTGAGCTACCAGCCTAGGAACCATACTTACGACTATCCGCGTGCCATACGCCTACCCAGGCAAGGGGCGTCTTGTGGAATTTGGTTCAGGGTTTGGGGCTAACGGTTGATCAAGGGCAGCATTGCCAAACTTCCACGCGACTTCTGCCGCTACGTCGCACGACCGGACTTTGAACTGTAAGCTGTTGTGAACATTCTTGTGTCAGCCACCTCTTGCGGCTTCACCTGACATCCTGACGTGGAGGCACTCTTCGGCCCGTTATGTGTACTGCATTCTAGATACAAAATGAACGGAGAAGTCAAGAAGATAAAAGCGCTGAACCCTTAACCCTAAACCCTGAACCAAATTCTACAAGACGCCCCTTGCCTCGGTAGGCGTATGGCATTAAAAAAGGTGTAAGCATAATTTCATTATCCTAGTACTGGGTTGAGACCTTACGATAGATTTTTTCCCTAGGGTGGGGGCTGGGTGGTGCCGTACACCTAAACAGGCAAGGTATCCTCTAACTAGCATTACCCCCGATCATGGCAGAATATCAAGACGGCCGCCGACCAGGCAGTCGATCCAAATGGTGCACCACAGGTTTGAATACCGGTTTGCTGCGACAGCAGCGAAAGATATCTGACGGGCGGTAAATGCAGTATTGTGAGTGTTGTCTCGGTTGGTCGCTTTAGTGGATTTTAGTACTGGGCAAGACTGCACGTGTTTCGAGAGCATCCACAACTCAGCTGGCTAGAGCTTGAGGCTGCTTAGCTCAAGTTCGGAGTCCGATGGCATCTGGAACCGATCACCCGGTCACCTGGCAACTAATTACCCAGGAAGTGGAGGAGCTGTCTGAAACCCAAGTGTAAATCCCAATCTGCGACGGTGGATGAGGTCGGCGAGGAGTTGCCTACGGCGATAGGCCGACTAAATCCGAGCTCCTAGCGTTGATCCAAGCTGGAATTGCTTGTGGCACGTGCGGTGCACAAGATTTCTCAAAGTTGGCAAGCCCTCAGATGGTGCGGTGCGGTGCGGTGGAGGGTCGGAGACCAGACGCAGGAAACCTTCAGGAGATTTCAAGAGCAGACACGCAGTTTTTGCAGATTTGTCTTCAATTAAAATATCATGCCCAACTCGAGGTCAGTTAGGCTATGTGTTCAAAACCAACAACAATGATGCATGCGACACGGTCACAGCGCCAGCTGCACCAAAGCTCAGCGCGCGGTGGCCCCAATCAATCGGCGTCGGATCCCACCTCTTCACTGAGAGGATCGATGACCTTCGCCCCGGGACGAACGAGGCGCCACGCGCCTCGCACAGGGCATATAGGCGCTGTGCATGTCAGCACAAAATTCCCCGCTGTGGGCGTCCAGAATTCTCCAAAGATCGGCCTCCCGGCTTGGCGCTCTCTGCGCCGAGCCTTTCAAGCACCTGCAGCATGTCACAGGAGGCATTTCGAGGAAGCGGCAGCAAAGCGGAGGGCCTCTCTCCACACGCGGCAGGTCTCTGCCAGACCCCCGGGCGGCGCCGGCGTCCTGGAGAGCCGCTCCTGAAAAAAAGGCGGATCTGGCACCGATGCTTTGCCTTCTTAAGGGTTTTGACGGGGAGGCTCCAGCAGCCCCAGGTGGATCCGCAGCGCATCGGCCGCCAAAAGCTCAGCCTGCGCCAGAGGTCCAACAAGCACCAACTACATCTGCCTTCTATTGATTTTGATGGCAATTTCTCTTGCTCCGTAGCCTGCTTCTCGCTTCCCACCCTGTGCAAAAGCCGACAACGAGCCAGGGCCTGCAGCTGCGGGTGGGTGGAGACGCCGTCCAGCCTTTCACACGCCAACAGACGTAAAGCGCAGGAGCCCTTTACAAGCATGAAACTGCACACACCAAGTCCAGAGGCCCTGAAAAGCCGATCGGGCGCCTCAGGAGCTCCGCGCGTGTCCGCACGACGGCGCTGAGCAGCAGCGCCAGGTCCAGCAGCTCCTCCCAGCGAGGCTTCGCTTCGCTGAAATTGCCAAGGCACAGAGATTTTACTAAACTGCGTCCTCGCGGTGCGTGGGCTGTGGATACATTGCTGCCTGGCGTCAGCACATCTCCGGCAGGAATCAACACTTCACTGAAAAGAAGGCCTCCTCCAGCCAGGCGACGAGGCCCTTCATGATGCCCAGGCCTGCCCAAGTCTCTTCTCCCTGTTTTAAAATCCTGCACGAATCTGTCAGTCTTCCCCTCCTTGGGAGGCGTGGGCCACGTCGGCGTCCGTGTCTGAGTCCGAGTCTGATTCCAGGTCGCCTCAGAGAAGCAGAGAGAAGGCAGAGCACGCATCCTTCTCCAAAGGTCCCTCTCGGGCCCTGTCTGGGTGCCAGGGCACCTTAGAGACTGCAAACAAAGACTTTTTGCATGGCAGGTTATAGGCTTCGAGTACCTCCTGGGAGCCTGGCCGAGTGCCTTGATCAGCACCACCAGCAAGGAAGAGAGAGAAAACAAACTTCGCCTCACTGCGCTGCACTTTTCAGCGAAGCCGGTGTCCCAACCCTGGCTGGGCCCTCCCCCCCTGGCTCTCTCTCCCCACGCCTCAGAAGCGCTCGCCGCTCCCTGGTGGCATCTTTGGCGCGGAGCTCCGCGCGGCCCCAGGGGAAGCGAACCCGGACCATACCCCGGTCGTCGGCCTGACAGCAGCACCCCGCCAAGGCACTGCGAAATACCAGCCCCGCTGACATGTGGCCGCAGGACCCGCAGGTTGTGCGCCTCGCTCTCGAGAACCCCGACACCTCGACAAAAAAATGAGTCAGCAAGAGAGAGTGAGAGAGAGAGAGAGAGAGAGAGAGAGAGAGGCCGGCAGGCAGAGATTGCTAACCAGGGTAGGTACATAAGCCTGGTGTGCTCAAGTAGAGTGCATACAGCGACCTATCCATAATCTAGCTAGCTTTGTTCATGCACATGTTCATGACCGGGTTTCCAGAGCTGGCCGCAGCCAGAAAGCCTACTTGTGGACTGTTTTCTCTCCAAAGCAGTCCAAGGATACCATGTTGAAACAGAAGAAGACATCAAAAAGATGGGGGGCCCCGGCCATAGGGAGTCAATGTGGACCCCGGAACCTGCCGGGAGTGCAACACAAAGCGAGGAGCGGATGGTAGTCCCGACAAAGACCAGGATTCCTTCATGAGGACATATGTGCCTTTCCCACCAGATGCAAAGCCAAGATCAGGACAGTGTGCAGAAACGGCCAATTCCCTGGTTGCTCTTTGGCGGAGGTGGCGTGTGCCGATGTGCCCGGGCCTCGCTCGTAAGGCGATTCAGCACTTCCGGTCCCAGGCCTGGCGAAAGGAGGCTTCGAACTGCCAAAGCCTGTAAGGGGCCCCCCAGAACAATTACCTATAATCGAAAATTGTGTAATAATGTAGTATAGTGACATAGTAACAACTGCAACATATACTAGCATAGAAAGTTAAACCTCAGCCGACATGGGCTTCTGTCTTGGGGCAATGGCCTGGGCCTTCCCGTGCACCGGATGGCTCGAGCCTCTGCGAAACTCCAAGGAACTTACATGCTCTGGCCCCGAAACAGAAGGCTTCAGGGTTTAGGGTTCCTGTGTGGTAGGTTTAAGGCTTTCTTTTTATGGCCGGGGCCCAGTGACATCGCCTCATGCTCTGGCATGCATGACTCGAGCTGACCAGTTGGGGACAGCAACCGCAGGCCAAAGATTACCTGCGAGACCCCACTGCCTCGCAGGAGCCAGAGTCTCTCCAGAACCCTGCAATCACCGAGATTGGAGCTGGAAACGAGCCCAGGCCCGTTTCGGATCTCAGATGGGCAGTCGCTGAGAATATGAGTCTCGCTGGATCCGTCCCTTTCTCTCTTGTGACAGCTTCAGGAGTGACTGCTTTGAGTGCCCGACTCGGGCGCTCCCTGGGCCTGCAGAGCCGCAAGCACAAAAGTAGCGCCTCCCCCATGCACACCCCTGAGGCGCCGCACAGGGCATGCGGGGCTGCAGATTCCAGCACTGCCTCAAGCAAAGCTCTTCAGAAAACGACTGCAAGTGGAAGTGAGACCAGTCTCTTCGAGGGCCACACGGTGAGCTTGCGGCTCTGCGCATGGTCGCCGCCGTACCTTAGCTCAATGGACCCTGAAGAGTCACACCGAGTCACAACCCCATTCTGGAAGCTAAGTCTTGCCCCCTTTCTCCCTCGGTGAGCCCAAGATCAAGTGCCCGACTTCTCGAAGATCCGCTGCAAAGCCGCACGGGAGTGCACCGATGTTCCTGATATGTGAGAAGACTGAATTGACAGTCCTGGTCTTGACCACACGACAGCCGCATTCATGTGCCGCTGATGCAGACTTGCAACACCGTTGAAAAATATAGTGTATACTCTGTGCTCTTTCTTGCTTGGAGCAATCTCTCTTTTACCTACAAAGCGGTCGGCTTGCCTTACACGAAGATCTGCTTGTCGTGCACGTGCTATGACCAACTTCGGCCACGGCGGGCCTGTGGACTGGTCGGCCGCCGAGGCCTTGCTTGCGACCTTACGAAGGGCAACTCCTCCCTACAGTACCTGCCTTGCGGCTGGAGCCCTGAGCTCTCGTGTTTCCAAGGCACCCGTGGGCTTGGCGGTGGGGCGGCAGCACCCTCCGACCTTCGGGCCCAGATCCAACGGCAGCCACGATTTTGAATCTGCAAAGGCTGAGCACTGCACTCGGCTGCCATGTGCTGATAAAAGGCGATCAGGGTCGGTCTGGTTGGGGGGAAGGGTCTTGTGAGAGAGTGTGCTCGAAGTGAGGTACAGCTTTGGCATGGAGTTGTCATGGCGAGCGCGAGCATCTGTCAACTCAACTCTGGGCGCCAACTACGGGAGTCTTAACACTTGCTGGACGCATGAAAGCTGAACCACATGATGCCTGCAGTGGAGCCACGAGCTCAGTGCCGGCCGTGACATTGGACAGCGAGTTCTCTCACGGGTTGCAGCAGTGCTCGCGGGGGGGCCGCACGTCGTCGGCATCATATGGCAACCCAGACAGGTGCAATTCGATGACCTGTTTCAGTGTCGCGACTCAACAGGATTGCAACCTGCACAGCAAAATCTGGAAGCTCCAAACCCATCCTCTCTTGACGCTTGCTGAAGCGGTGATTGGAGGCCGCACTTCCAGGCCAATTCCAGGCCTCCCAGTCCTTGATGTTGGTCGCAACCTTGTAAAACTCCTCAGACTGGATGCTGGCCCGGAGGTGTGCCTCGCCGCCAGGTCTAATGGGATCCCCACATTCACAAGCCCTCCGCTGCGGCCCTTCAAAGCCCATGCCTCTCACAGAGAACCCAATGCCTATGCGGGAATCTGCATCTGCGATGCCTGCTGCAGCTCCTGCGGCTTCATGCCATCCTTGTACTTGATCTTCTCTGAGTTATCGTGCGTGACCTCGGGGGAAAGATCGCCAGCGCTTCATAGCGCTTCATAGCGCTTCAGCGCTCGCTGGGCTCTGGGCTGCCTCGAGCTTGCCGGAGCCTTGCCAGCTCCGGGCGTCCCCTTCGCCAAAAATCCTCGCCTCACCACATGGAAGCCAAGAGCTGTGCTCACAGCTTTCGCAGCAAAAAAGTGCTTTTGCGTTTGACCTGGCCCTGGTGCTCAGAAGCCCTGCTCAACACCATGGCATGAATTTTCATCTACGACATCCATGTCGCTACAATGGTTTGCCGGAGCCCCGTCCTGGTGGAGCTCCTCGGACTTTCGCACGTTCGGCGTCGCCTCGCCGCCGAACTTTCGGGCTCCCGGCAGCAGCTCCGTGCGGCAATCGCTCCAGTCCTCTCTGCCCCGGCTCTAAAGCTACGGGGCGCGAAGGAGCGAGCTTCCGGAACAGCCCCTCTCTGGGGTCAATATGGTCAACGAAACCCGCACGGACACGTCCTGATGGACGATGAGGTGATCTTCGTGCCCCGTTCGACTCTTTGGCCGAGATCTGGCGCTGAGGAGAACCTTCTTCCCATCACGAATCACGAACCCTGACTGCATCGCATGCCAAGCCTCTGCGTCTTCGTAGGCTGCTGATCGTCCGAACAGATCACTGCACAGGGGGCGGTCTGCTGCGAGTGTCTCTCAGTGGGCTGAACGTGGCCATGCCGCGCCTGTAGTAGACATTGGCCCTGCGTTTCATGTCGCTCTCCTGCTCCTGGCTTGTCAACACACAAAAGGCGCTTCATAACGGACTCAGACCGTCGACTGTTCCAAGATGAAATCAGACTGTCTCGACAAGGACGTTCACGCAACTTGTCAGTGGAAGACACGTGTCTGGCGCGACAGCGTGCAAAGAAAGCCCCCTGTTTGTCGCGAGTTGGCGCAAGCAGAATTTGCACACCTAACATCGAAGCGCATACCCGAAGGTCTAACATGAATTATTGAGCCGGTGTCACTCGACAGCGCTCACAAAATAACTTGCAGTGACTAGTACAGAGAGAGCCTGGAACCTGCGACGGTGCGCAGAGTAAGCCTTCGCGGCATCCGGTTCTCTACCCTCTGAATTCGGCTCTACAGGAAAACATGCAACACTCACCTAGTCAGTGTGCACCTTATGGCACTCATGCGTGTGAGGGCACCGAAGTGCACCAGGGATTTGGGGCGCTTTGCTGAAAAAACCCTGCAAAAGGCCAGCGAATAGTTCTGCCTGGCTTAGAAACTGCAGATTGTGCATGTCACCAGGCCGTATACAACACCGACCGGGGTCCAAGCAGGCTGGCACGGCATGACTCAAAGCAAAAGGGACCCAGACTATCTACAGAGTTTGTCAGGGCATCTCAGCCCTTCCTTTCTTTGAATCCTCCCACACTTCGATCTAAGGACATTCGGAGTGTCCCGGGTGAGTTCTCTGCCGGTGCCAGCGCGCCACCCGTGCCAAACGGAGGCGCCAGACCACGGTCTGTCACTCCACACTGTGAAGGAGCGAGACGGCAGTCTGGCCAATGAATTAACTTCGGAAAACTCAAACAAGCACTGTAGGCTGTAGGCCTGTACAATACCTCACAAGAGATTCCTCTCCGCAGCCTTGATGTCCATCACCTGGTCCGCAGCATGTACCCAAGCAGTGCTGTCTCCTCTTGTGTGAAGTGGCTACTTCAGATCTCCCAAGGCCGCAGCCCAAGTCCAGAGCCAGCAGGTCTTTGCCGATTGAGGCACCCGTCGGCACATAGCATAGGTTGAGAGCCTGCATATGCCCCGTCACGAAGCCAAGCCCGTCGCAGTGCCGAGAAGCCCGTTCACAACATGTTCGCGCCGTAAGAGCCCTCATCCCTCTTTAGCTTGGACTTTCAAGCCAAGGAACGGGTAGAGGATCCAGGGAACAACTATGAGCCACACCAGAAGGTCCTTCACCTGAGCACGAGGTGTTGAGGGCGGAGTCGTGAAAGACCGGACACTGCAGTAGTAGCGACTCGGATCGAACGTACTGACCAGTGCTGTGGACCCGGAGGCAGTGCTAGACTATGGTGCACTGCCCAACCATGGACAAATCCAAACCCATGCAACCAGCTGCAAGCCGCATGCACGAGTGTGCCGCCTTGCTTCGTTTCTTTTGTGATCACATCGGCGCAACCATCAGTGGATGCAAGAATGCCCCACAACCCCCCCCACCTCGAAAGTGAGGATGTATGTCATGTAGCCGACGCCGCACAGGAAAACTATCCAAGTCCTTGGGGGGCGTTTCGGAGCCTCTCTCTCTCTCTCTCTCTCTCTTCTCGTCGGCCGATCCGGTGAGCAAAGCCGACACAGCTGACAGTCCTCTTAAAGACGTACCACAGCGACAGGTTCTGCTCTACCTCGCGCTCGACGGCATCCTCCAAGGCCAAGTTGAATCGAAAGGCCAGGTTACTCCGACTCTCTGCGACGCGGGCCTGTGGCTTCCAGTTCGCTGAGCCCGAGGACTGCGCCCAGACGGCGCGGGCGACGCGCAGTACGCCCAAGATGAGCTCGGGAGAGTACAAGAGGATGGACAACACGATCCTCGGAGATCCGCGAATGTCTATGCTGCTGCCGGGGCGTCCCTGCCACAACCCTCTCGAAGCTGACTGGCGGCTCAATCACCGAAAGTGCCAGCTGCCGTGAGAGAACAGAGCAGCGACTCAGCCGAAAGCGCGCCTCCACCGAGCACACACTTCAGTCTTAGCCAACATCTTCTAGACTGATTGACAGTCTATGGAAGTTGTCTGTAAGTAAATACGACTCTCTTTCTTGTTCGTCGACGGCCTTCTTGTAGCTGGAATTGCTGGAGTCGCTGTCACTGGCATCTGCGCCTAAGTGACCCCGAGGTATTCTGAGCTGCCTCTTTCTGAGAGCCACCTTCGAGCCGAGGCTCTTCCGATGGATAAGAACTGCAATGAGACATCCTTCTCGTCCACATCTCCGAACTTACCATCTCCGATCTTGGAGGCCTTCCTGGCCCGGAGCTTGGCGTTAGGAGCGTTTGGACTCCCTACAAAGGGGGCCCTCGTCACTTCGAAGACCCAGGCTCCTCGAAAGCAGGCAGTAGCGTCCCAGGCGAAGAGACGGCAACTTGTCCAAGATGAGGAAGCCCTGCTTTGAAGGGGGATGGGGGAATCTGGACATTGTACCTGGCACATCCTGTCTACCAGCTTTTGACCGGCTTTCGGCTCCTTGGGGATGATGAAAAGTGCCAGCACCGTGAAGAGCAGTGCGGAAAACCCAAGCAGCGGCAGAATGTTCAGCTGGAGCCTTGATGCTACCGGGGGTTGAAGTGTGCAGCGATTCGCCGCGAGGTCTCTACACCTCCACAAGGTCCCGGCCCCCAATTGTTCGATGCGAGAACCGTCGAGAAAAGGTTGATCAGAAGAATGCCCGGTCCTGACGGCAATGGGTAGCTGCATGCAAGCTATAAAACTGTGCAGACACCTTCACCGAAGATACATTGATATGATCACGGCCTGCATGGAAGAGGCGGAAGCCCGTGTGCGAAAGGTACTCTGCCGAGGTGGCGCAGGGAACGTCGCGCCAGCGAACAAACTTCCTGGGCACTCACGTTCCATGGATCAGGACAACTGGGCTTTCAGGAACCTTCTCTGGCCTGGAGTCTAAGGTTTAAGCATTCTCAAACATATCGAGAGCTTCCAAAACAAAAGGCCATGGCACTTCTTGGGTAGCTCCCACTTCGTGGCCAGGGAATGCACGGCGGCCAGCACCTTCCCCAGGGAGTTGGCAGACATGAATCAGAAGCACAGAGCCCTTGGCAAGGAGAGTCGTCCCCTTGTCATTCCCTGGCCTTCACCATGGGTGTGTAGATTCCACTGGCATGGTAGCTGCAGTTGCGCACCTGAAACCAGGGTCATGGGCGCCAGGTCTCCGTCCTCGAGTCTCCGGCACCAGGCCTCCCCGAGCATCCACCTCGTGGACTGTGACATCGCCGAGATCGGGTTCCTACACGAAACACACTTAATTGAATCAGCGTGACTTTCCCGCTTCTTGGCACTGCAGGAGGGATATTCAAGGTTGGCAGCTGGTCCTCGCCGCGTCCTCGTACAGCGTCACGTCGACATCAATCGCCGGCTGCAGCAACTTGGCCTGGAGACCACACTGACAGCAAAGCTTTTACACGGTGGTCATTTGGTGCCTCGACTGTGTCGTGGCTGAGGATGTCCTCAGATCAAACACGCCGCCTGAACCCTCCCCACTCACCACAAAGACCTGACCCTCCCTTGGAGCTGTTCACGCCGTAAGATGTCATGCTGTAGTTGTAAACTTTGCCAAAGGCTCGATCGGAAGAGCCTCGATGACGCTTCCAGGCCGACCGATGAGGCGGGGGATGTAGAGATCGTTGCGGATCAAGCCTCTCAAAGCGCAGAGACACCGGAGTTTGGGGCGAGAGCTTTTGGGGGGCACCCAAGGGGACGGTGTTACACTGTTTCACAGCTCTGCAAAATGACTGAAAATGAATACGCCTTTGCCGTAGAAGCCCACTCGATTGAAGATCCAGAACTGCCCGCGCTGCAGATTCACCGTGGAGACCTGCACATGGCGCTCTTAGAGGCATTGGATGATGGCAAGATTTAGGGTTGAGGTCGAGAATAACTGTAGTGGCCTCCATAAGGGCATTCCTCCACATGTGCCAGGTGCAGCTATCGTCGGCAGAGTAGTCGTTGGCAAGGTTGGCGTTGATGATGCCGTAGGACCTGCGAAATAGAGAAAGAAGTCGTGAGGGCGGCCATCAACAAAGCGCATTGCGGTAAAGCAACAATAGCCAGAGAGAAAATTTGTACACTTGCAACCCAAAGTATTGAAATGTACTGCTGTGATTGCGAGTGGCTGTTGGCGCGGATAAACGGGGAATGCCAAACGGCACATGAAAAAAAGCCGAAAAGCGAAAAGTCGAAAAGTGGCATTGAATTGGATAAAGATATTGCGCGAACAACCAGAAACACCGAAAAGGCCAAAAGTCGACAAGTCAAGAAAAACGGCGAATTGAAAAGTCTAAGCAAAAAAGCGAAGAGTCGGAAAAAACCGCGAAAACTCACAAATTACAGCAAGAAGCGAACAGTCTAAAAGCGCAGCTAGACGCGAAAAGTCTAAAAGTCAAAAACCGCGAAAAGTCGAAAAGTACAGCGGAAGGCTACAAGTCGAAAAGTCAACAAGTCGAAATGTCGAAAACTGTCGAAAAAGTCAAAAATCCACAACCGCGCTCAGCAAGTCTGGTCAAACATGACTGAGACAAGTGCGTCCGAGGTGTTCGCCTAACCCGAAGACCCAGCTCGGCCAAAAGTATCTATGTTTTTGATGCTTATAGTTCTTGGATGAGCCCGACATTGCTTCAAGCTCTGCCAGACTTGACACTTGGTTTGGTGGCTCCAGACCCGAGATGCTCAAAAATCATTGCAAGTTGCCGTTCAGGGTTCCTGAAACCAGAAAAAGCAATAATGCCTATCTACATTTTCACATATTTTTTCCACGGCCAGCCCTTGCTTACACCTGTCCATCCCAACCTCTTGGCCTGTCCCCATCGAGCCCCGGCTTGCCGCTGCTACGCCTGGAACAATAGCCCAGGGTACGAAGCCTTTGCGTGAAAACCTGAAAGCGTCGACGAAGGAGACAAGTACCGAACATTCCAAACGCCCGGAAAAATGCGAAAAGCCGAAACAACGGAAAACATACAGAGAA